AATAAATAATCCAACAATATTTTTTTATAAATAAACGTAAATGTGTTAATCATTAAATATTTTACTCTAAAATTCAAACCATCTGCATAACCTGAATACTTACACAAGATTTTTAAAAACTATTAAAAGATATGCAATAATTGCGTCCAATATAATGTCATAAAAAAAATAATAAATTTTATAGAATTTATTACACAAAGAGTATTAAAGAAGTTATAAATAGTTTAAGAATTTATTGAATTCTATAAGCACATATTAATAGTCAGTCATTACACAATTTAGAATTCATAAATATTCATATGAAATGATTATTTTATTTCTTATTCTATAATTGTAATTTAAAAAAAAATGTCTTTGTTACACGAAGCAACATTAAAGTTCCAAAGAATTCATAATGTAAATTTTAATAAAAAAAAATAAGGTAACAAGTGTGCAATGAAGGTGTGGAAGTAACAAAACAATATTTAAACAAATTATCATTTGATGTTGTAGATGGGTTGGTGGATTTAAATATTTATTAGCAAAGTTTTACCTGCTCCAACATTTTTACATGCATCTCAACAATCATAAACAAAAAAACAAAAAACAACAAAAAGTTTCTTGGATTTACGTGTTATTTCAATAAAAATGTCCAATAGATCACCGAAAATTATAAGAATAAATAAGTTGAGGATATTCTATTGAATTTCTAAACACCTATTTCTTATAAAATTTTCCTTTTCCATTCTCAATCATGAAGTTTTAACAATACACACTGATAATGAACTGAAATTTGACTTTAGTTTTATTTTTTCCATATTAGAAAAATTTTGCTAAAAACTGTTGCAACAGTACAGAACGAAATTTTTGGATTCGTTCCTTAAGTTGAAAACACTTCATTACCGTATTAAAATTAAAGCTCTTTAAATCAAAGTTTGACATATTCTTACTGCTGTAAAAACTTTATGAATATTTATGAAAACGAATTAAGAATATGTGCACTCTTACAATCCATTCAGTCTTGCATCTCACGCATTCTCTTTTTGCGTTTGAATTCAGCTTTCCATTTCATTCATTTTCATTTTTCATTTCAGCTTATACGTTTGCTTACAGGAACGCATACTTCCTGTATGTAATTTTTTGAAATCTAATTGGTCATGTAATTTTTTTTTAGTGTCAATGCGCAAAGACAATATTTTACTGTATTTCAGTCAGTATTCGTAACTGCAACACAAATTTAATTCTGAAAACTATGCAGGTATAATTTTATTTAGGAAAAGTGTTTTTTTTTAGCAAAAGCATCACAAAATATCACGTTTTACAGTGACATCTATCGTTCGTCCGACACCCTACCGAAAGCACGTATCGAATCAGCTTTCAGAATCATTAAATCTGTTACTCATAATTCAAGGTTGAATCAAAAGAAAGAAAGGATTTTTACAGATTTTGTAATCACAGTCAATCTTGTAGAAATATTTGTGTGCATTCGTTTTGAAAACCTTTGTGATTTCCCTTTGTGAAGAAAGGGAAATCACAAAGGAAGTTCAAGAAAAACGATAATACTAAAATAATAACTTTGTAAAATATCTTATATAACTAAGTAGTTAAGTAAGTATTGCGAATGGAAATGCCAATACTATACACTATTCCAATTAATAAACTAAAATTCTTCACGTACACATTTATGTATATTGAGCAAATATGTATGTTTGCATTTAAATCTTCGCCATGATCGAAATTTTCTAAAAAATTTCAATGTCTTGAATATTAATTAGCATTAAAGGAAAACAATCCAATACTTTATTTATTACTTATCTATCTCTAAATCACAAAAAACAATCAATTCATGAGTTGCGATTGAAAGTACTTAAGTGAAATTTATAAGAATGCCAGGCTGTATCTATCATAGATTTTATTGTAATTTATTAATATGCGTATTACTGGGGACTATTAAAAAACGAAGGTGTATAAAAAGTGTTATTCATATCGGGCTCAAATTAGTTCCTTCCATATTTGTGGCCTTAAAATTTGGGAACAACAAAATTGATTACTGTTTCAGATCAATTATTAAACTGATTGATTACTTATGTAAATATATAACGTTATATTGCTTACATACAGTATAAAATAAACATAACCTTAATGTTGAAAAATTTTGCTTTATTTAATAAATAACTTTTGAGATTTTGTTCTTGCTTCTATTTTAAAAAATTATAAATAAATTATTTTGCTCTATCTGAGCTATATCTGAGGTGTAGACATGAATGCTTTTGAACAGAGTCGAATTCTGATTCAATTTAGCCACGTCTGGTCGGGTATCCGACAGTCTCAGTCATAACTCTATAATAATAATAGAAAACTATAATTGTCATAAGTTCACCAAATTTCAAAGTTAACAAATAGATAGCAGAGAACTTGCTGATTCGGAATATAAACTTTATGAAAAAAAAAATAAAAATGGAATATAAAGCATTTGGTGACCTCGGGTAATCTAACATTTTTCACTTTCTTTCAGTTTCTGCATATTCTTCTTTTCACTTAAACTGTGAATTAATAATACATTTCTAAGGTTCCCTATAATTCCAAGTGTTGGAGTTTAAATTATAACGGGAATAAAATATTCTTTTACCAATCTCATCTTTATTTGGCAATTTTAAAATTTAAAAATTCACGCAGTCATAGCTGATAGCCAATTTGCTTATAGATTTATAATTTCCTATTTTAATAAAAGTTCGAATTTAATTTTTACAATTTCAAAGTTCGATTTAAAAAAAATTATGGGATGGAATTCATAACTTACCTACCTTAACATTCAGATTTTGTGACTTTAAATTATATTGTTAAAAGCATCAAATAAATGCAGTTATATAATAAGTATTTGGCGTTTCGAATTATCAACCTAATCTTTTTATTGTACAAGAAAGCGTTTAGCTGAGAACAAAAAGCTCGGGTAATTTCCAACACCATGAAAAAGAAACTCGAGAGAAACTGACTTGCATCTACTGGAAAGAGAATTTGTGCATGTTTGATATAAAAATTCTAATTCGAATCGTAAATAGTATCAAAATAACATGAAATTTTAAACAATTTAGAAGAAAATTTTTATACAAACGTGATAGGTACGAAAGAATTTTCATTATTATCACAATTTCCATTCAAATTCAAAATAATTTTACTGACTCGCCAGGGCGTATTGCACGTCGTTTTTTGTTTTTCTTTCTAACTTCATGTTAAAATATGAATTAAGAATAAAAAAAATTTTGGGGACCATATTATACTTGAACTTACGAATAGTAACAGAACTTACAAGCATAATTAAGTCATTAATACTAAAGCAATTCTGTATAGAAAGATAATTAATTAAAATTATCATTGAAAGCCTTCTTAGATTCCAAAACAAAAAAAAAATTAATTCTATTCAAAAAATATGCTTTACATAAAAATGAACAATAGGAAAGAATTTGTTAAAAATTATTAAAAGGTTGCTCTTTAACACTTAAATAACTCTAAGAAAATTCACATTACTCCGCATAATCTTAATAAAAATAATGCACGGCTAATAATAAAAAAATGAAAAACAAAGTATTTAGATTGAAGCCAGACTCTTTGTCTTTTAAAAGAATGCAAAATTGAATCTTCTTCTTCTTTTTCTTTCTTTTTCTTATTTTGAAAAGAGGGGAATGTACTCTTGTTGTGATGCTTGGATATTGTCAATATTAAAAGACCTAGCTTACAATTTTTTATAAAGGTAATCAAAAATTTTTAATATGAAAGAGATGATGGAAAACAACAATAAAAAAAATCTTCAAACTTTAAAGTTTAACCCTTTTTTTAATAAAATTCATCATGATTTTTTAAGAAAATGAAATTCTTTTTGTAAAAAATAGCCAACAAAACAAAAAAAAAATTTATTAAGATTTCCGGTTATCATTTAATTTTTCAAAATTTTTCATTTGAATTGCCATTAAGTGGTGCTAATATTCATAAGGCAAACGGTATGTTAACAATTTTTGTTTCAGAGAATCTCCATGATATTTTCATAAATTTTATGTACTTTTAATAATTCAAAAACACAATTTTGTCACGTTATAGTCAAATTAAAATCATAAAAAAATTTGAGTACAATATAGACTTCAATTCGTACGTATATCTCAACTCTAAGTTACTCCTGTTATGAGTCTAAGTTGTTAGATCCAAAACAATAATTTTCATTTCTCTATATAGTTTATAAAGTTCTTAAAATCGCATGTCTTAAAATTTATTTGAAAGCACAAACTAATTCCGATTTTTTAAGTCTCCACGTGGAAGATTCAAAATTTACTTTAACTTATTTTTAACATAACAACATGACAATAAATGCGTTATAATCACATGATTTTATTTAACATTTTTTCGGTTAGCATTAAAAACCAAATGACAAATTCATAACACTTTTCTATCACAGTACATATACGAGAGTATAATAAGCAAATAATAAGAGAACAAATAACCGGACGAATAAAAATTTTAAGGCATGGACACGGTTTTAATATTTTTGACACCATATTCTTTTTTCCTTTTCATTAAATCTGAATGCTACAGAGCGCTTCTGTATCCAACAACAACGGCCATTTGTTATACTCACATTTATATGAAAATAATTGTGTTACTTAGTAAACAATTGATAAAATTGCTTGTGTTATTAAGTAACAAATTACGGAAATAATTTCAAGGTCTGTAACTCAACATATTTCTTAATATACTTTTGGCTACACTTTTTTTGTTTAATTTTAGTTATAGTATTTTATCAAGAGTAGTATTCAATGAATATTCTCAAATTATCAATATTAAAGTTGTTTTAAAAAACTCAAAAATAATTAAACACTAATTTCAAAATCTATTCTAAGCTACATTTGTTAGGATTATTCGCAGCTCGCTCAAATTTTATTTTTTGAATTTAAAATAACGTATGTGACAATATTGAGCCTGAATTTTTGAGAACTACTCAATGCTAAAAAAAAAATTTTTTTGTAAAAGCTTACCTAAATATTGTCTGCTTTTAAACATTAATCTGTATGATCCGAAGCTGTAAAGAAAAAAAATATCATTAGAATTTGTTTTCAATCAAAATATTTTCAGCATAGTAAAATTTTAATATTTGTTTTTGAGGTATAAGTCAATTCTATGACGAAATGACTGAAGGAAAGTGTGTTATTTTCGATTTCTTCAAACTTGTTTTGAATTTCTATCAGTATCAAGCGAAAATTGTGGTGGTTTTTACTGAAGTTATTTTCTCGTTTATTTGATAATGTTTTTCTAAGTGTATATTTTTACACTTAGAAAAACATTATCAAATAATTTTTGATAACAAGTGTTGATTTACTTCAAGGGTCTTGAACCAATATGCATTTGCTTGTCGACAAAACAAAAATTCGACAATGCAATAAAATTCATTGAAGAAAAATATTCCAAAACTATTGAGAACCAATGCTCGTTATAATTATACTGCTATTCGAATTGCTTTGGTGGCTAATAGTGATAATTGTGATAGGAACACACAAAAATAAATGGCAAATAATATTGCCCGTTTAATGCGTCCTTAAATTTTTGAGTTAATGTGTTCTGCTAGTTCTATAGAATTATTTGGTAATTTATAATATTCGGCATTTTCAAGCAAGAGAAGTTGACGTTTTTGCACAAATAAGAAATCTTTTAAGTGCTTACTTCTTTATAAAAAAAAAATGATGTGATCAACACGTCTGGATTCGTAAAAATATTCTAGAAGATTATGAAAATGCGTTTTAAACACATCTTTACAATTTTAAGGACACTAATAAGCTTTTAGTTAACATACCTAGAAAAATGTGAATTTGGCTCTTAGGAGAGTTTCATTTTGTGCCGTCCGAATTATACGAAAAGTTCATCAGTAACTTTTAGTAATAGACAGATTCATTGTTTTAACCCCTCGAGTTTAAATATTAAATTAAAATGAAATCGGTTGATTATTTCTCTTTATATACGCAAAAATGTATTCTTGGCCCGTAGTAAACGTCCAGTTCCTGACACTTGATTTCTTCTAAAAGTTAGAAGATTTCGCGTACGATCGGTTGAAACTTATATATGTAATTTTAAGTAAATCTGTTGAATATGTTCTTTAAAATGATGAAAAATGTAAAACAGGGCCGCTAAAAATCCAGTTCCCGAGGTCTGATACCTTATTGTATATACAATCCGGTCGGTTAAAATCAGAAATCGTATTTTTTGATTAATGTCTGTTCGGTAACAAATGACCGATATTTGTTGAATTATGTACTTGTTTCATACCTTCCATACCGTTGGTAAATTTTGGAACTTACTATTATTAATAATATTTTCATGACGTTTCTTTTCGTTTTTGCCAAGTCATGCCATATTTTTTAAAATTTCGACATACATACATAGCGCACTCAATATACTATATATGAATTGTTAATTAACTACATAAATGTGTAGTAGCTTTTATTTTGATTTGAAGTTATAAAAATTAAAAAATTCACCTGTCATATAAGACCTATTATACTATATTTTTTGACATTTTGTGAAATAATCATTACGATATTTATAATAGAATTTTGGGTATTCGTTTCAAGGTTAACATAAACTAACTATTTTTCTTATTTTTTGTTAGCAAGTATGTAAGTAGTTATTTCGCTTTAACTTTTATTAATTTTTTATTGACTTGACCTTCTACAATTCTACGTAATATTAAATAGGTTGGTATTTTTATTTTTTTTTATTTTGTTTCATTTAAAAATTATAGTAAAAAGATTTTTTCAAAATAGTTTGCCTTCTTAATAACGCACCTTAAACCGGTATTTTCATATAAAAACAAACAAATCCTAAATTATATACGAATTTAATTGTTGTTATAAATGATATTGTTTCTATCTCTGTCTAGTAAAGATATTGGACATAAGTAAATCATAACAAATATTTCGAGTATAAAGAGTATGAACTTTTTACAAAATACTGAAAAGTTTTGGACTTGAAGAGTTTGTAACTTCAATTTTTTAAAAGAATAACAATTTTTTTATCAGTCCAATTAGTCATTGCATACAATAAAGGAGATCAAGTGATGGCTCAGAAACAAATTTAGATTTGGTTTGATTATGTTAACTAAAAGATTATTAGATTTCTTTGAATTTAAAAAAAGACATTGTAGACCATTCCCGTAATCTTGTGCAACACTTTCGCTTTTGTTTACGCTACTATATTAATATTTCTTAGTATTCTTATATTATTTTTATTTTTAGTGTTCCAAAAATTTTTAGAATGCATTCTAATTCATTTAAAACTCATAAATCTTATTTTTTATTTTAAGATTGCTAATTTCAATATTACAAATTAATATTTTAATAGTTAGCACTTTATTACAGTTGCCACTTATATTGGAACGAAACTTGCCTGTTTCATATAATTAATTTCAATTCTAAGTGTATAGATATGAACGGATATAGCGACATCTTTAATGCATAATAATGCATGAGATTTCAGTTCTTAACGTAAAATAACGTATGATTATAGTTTTTAATCATAAAATTTCGAAAAGCACAATTACATTTTACTTTGTATATTTAAACATAAATATAATACATATATACTAATAAAACTGTACTATTGCTTTCCATTCTAATATTAAAGGTAATTATACACAATTTGAATTTTGCCTAAAATATCTGCTTTTTGTATACATTTTTAATCATATTTTTAACAAAACCGAAAAACAAAACAACTCACTCTATTCGTCAGTCCGCAATTCTGTTGACTCTATTTTGCAGTTTTGATTTTGAAATAGCATTTTGAACCAACTTGGTGACTATATGAAAATGGCAAATGGTGTCCAAAGAAGAAATGCAAGAAACGATAATCTCCAGAGGATAAGTGAAATCAGATATCATTTGCCATTTATCCAGATTTCACTTATCGTCTCTTGCACTTCTTCTTTATAAAAAAAAACGAAGTTGTTAAATGAATAATTGCTTCTGGAGAAACTTGAGTAAGAAAACTCTTGGGTAAATTTTTGAGACCGGAAAAAAAATTAGGAAACCAAGAAAGACAATTCAGATTCGACCCTATCGTTAAATGTTAATGATCAGTTATCCGGCATCATATTTTGACCATTATATTAACGTTTTTTTAATTTTTACTCTCATTTTAAAATTATGCAAAAATTGGGAGAATAATGTATTTATATAAAGCATAGCTTTTTCTAAATAAGTTTTAAGAAAAAAGTCATTTAGAATTTATGGTGTTTGAGAGAAATGTGCTTTTTCAAAACCATTGCTTTCGTCCGTCCTTATTATAAATGCAAGTCTATTTAGTGGAATATTTCATTTCACCTTAATCTAACACTGAATTCGAATTTTATCTTGAAATTATGATTCATTTTGAATTCTAAATTTACCTTGGGTACCAAATTGAGAGATAAAGAAAAATAAATGTTATTTTTTTTTATTTCCATTTATTTTCCACTTCCGTTTTGCAAGTGATTAAAAAAGACAATTATTTTTATTGTTTTAAAAATACACTAAGTAATTCTTAAAAAAAAAAAACACAAAAAAAAGGAAAGTTTTATAAGTGCTTATACTTAGATACCAAGGAAATTGAAGTGAACTTTTCTTGTTTTATTTTATTTTTTCTGGAATTCTGATAAAATAATCTTAAGTAGTAAGTAAATGTAATATAAATAAAAGAGATAGTTAATGAATAAATAATTGACATAGATTCTCTTAAATTATTAATTTTATTCAAAAAGCAAAAATTTTTTTTACAAGTTTGACTTATACTTAATTAATTAAGCCCATAAATCGCATACTTGAACATTGCATTCATTTCTGTTATCATTTGTCGTTTTATGGTCAAATACCTGAAAACATTCATATACTTTAAATAAAAATATTTGATGGTTCAATGATCTTGTATGTTCTGAGAAGAAGTCAAGATTACTTGAAAATTTTCTCTTCCGCCACTTTACTTTATCGCCGATCACAATGATATAATCACATTAATTTTTAATAATTTAAATTAGACTTGTCGTTTGGAAAATTTAAACGAAGAAACATTTATACTACTTTATTTGATTACAGCTACTAAGGGTTGATTCACAATTATAATTAAATTGTTGGAAAATAAAAGAGCTCTTAAGTATTCAAAATGTTGAATTACTACTCGTATAACCTACTGATTAACTGCTACAAATACACAAGTATACGTACATAACATAAATTTATACACACAAGAAAATTATGTGAACTTTTAATAAAATCGACATAAATTTAATAATTCTGAAGAATGTGATTTACAACAATTTCACTTATACATTCACTCAAAATGTCAAAATGTCAGAATGTGTAAATGAAGTTATTAATCTACAATTCTGAACACAATTTTCTAAATATTACTTTTTGAACACTAAATGAGTTTGTAAGTATTAACTCATTTTTGTCTAATATAGCAACATTAGAGAAAATTGGTTAAGTAAGGTTGCGTTAAACAAAGAGCAATAATTCAATGAAATTTAATACTGTAAAAAATAAGGTTAATAAAAATCTCTGAAATAACTTAAAATTCAAATTTAATTTAAAAATATTTTATAAAAAATGTCACGTTTCTTATAAGTTCTCGTCAAATCGTAATTATTTTATTTGAAGTGAGATTTTTGTTTAATTTGAGAAAAATAAACATGGTGGTAAAAGTTTTTGTATACTAAGACACAATTTTTATTTTTAATTTTAGTTATTGACGTTTTTCCATCAATGTGTAACTTTACCCAAAATAACAAGACCTAGCACATTTTTTAACTTTTCGAATACAAATTAGTATTTATTTTATGTTTTTTTTTGTTCAATTTGAACAACTCACAAGTACATTATCAAAAACATTACATCTCATTTCCTGTTAAAAATACAATCAAAAATTTTTCTTAATTCGGAAAAAAAATATTTGAGTAAGCCAAAGGTACTTTAAAATACCTTATATGTTTACCTTTTCTTATTTGCAATTTCTAAGTGAAAAAGAACAGAGATACAAAAATATTAAAAAGGGTTA